TCTTCTCTCTCCATTTCCAGTTGTGCCTCCTGTGTCATCAAACCTACCTGGAAGGTGGAAGACAAGAGAGCCTGGAAGCTGCAGAGCAGGGAGAGGGCAGGGGGAGGGCAGCGCAGGTCCCCGAGCCAGTGCCAGTCGCAGCACGCCAGGCTGTCAATTCCCCACCCCCAGAATGGTTGCTGGTCACCAAGGCAGAGGCTGCCTGGCCCCCAGCACTTGTCCAGGTACCGCCCCTTCCAGAAACCCCAGTTTGAAAATCCCAGGCAGTGTTTGAGCCATCTGACCGTCACAAAACCCCTTCAAGGTAAACATAACTAACTCTAGCTCATAGACGGGGAGATGCTTGGAAAAGTGATTGGTCCAAAAGCTGGTCTGTAGCTGGGGTGGGATTTCAGTCCACACCGAAGTTATCTGACTCTCAGCACTGGCTTTGCGGTCTCTCATAGCCTGTGAATTTCGGTGGGTCTGGTTCTGCAAGGGTAAACTCTGAATACATAGCCAAGAAAAATTCTGATAACATCCAGAGAAACAGTAAGAGCAAGAATGAATTGGCATGGAACGATTCCTCCACATGGGGCCCTCTCTGCCAAGAGCTTTGCTGTCCACACCATCACGAGCCATCCTTGGGACATGCCTAACGGAAAGTACTACCAATACTCCCACTTTAGAGATGAGCAAACTGAGGCTCAGAGTGATGAACACATTGCCCTAGCGTTGTGGAGCTGGGACCCTGGCCAGGTTGGTTCCAAGGCCCATGACCTCCCGACTGAGCATCTGCTGAGCAGAGTGAGGGGAGGAGCAGGCTTGGCTAGCCACCCAGAGTGGGGTCCTGGCTCTGCCCTTTCCTAGTGGGGTTATCTCAGGCAAGGTACTTAACTTCTCGGTTTCCTTTCCTCTAAAATGGCGATAATGACCATACTCAACACAGAGGATTGTTTAGACTATTATGGGATTTAAATCAAAACTTTAGCTTTCATTACCCTGACTTGACCTCTTAGTGCTTTAGTGTTTTTCAGTCTGTAAAATGGCGATACACAGTAGTGCCCACCGCATAGGATCACTGTACTGAGTACTCACTCCACAGGGGTATTGTGAGTATTAGATGAGTAATTACTCCATGTTTGCCTTAAATAGAAGCTATTATTATCATCCCGCCTCTACAGTTCTTTGCAAGTCAGAAAGTGTTGTGAGAGCAAGGGCTGGAGAAGACGAGGTCGTGTTAGGGGCAAAGGTCATAGGTGAAAACCAGGCTGACCCTCTCTGAAGCTCTCATAACCAGAAGTACCCAGGCCTGGCCTTTCCCCAAAGAAAGTCTCTGCACTCACTTTCTCAATGGTGGGTCGGAGCTGCAAGTGTTGGGTGTCCCTGGGCTGCATGCTCTCTGGAGAGCCCTTCTCTACCAGCTGTGCCTAAAGAGCCTGGCATGGAGCCTGTCCCTGGGGCCCAGGGCACACGGTCCTTCTCCATGCTGAGCGCTGAGATCCCTCGCCGTCTGTGACTCCCCCTCGCTCACGCTGCTCGGTGCTCATTGGCCTCTTCGCTGTTCCTCGAACACATGCCCCACTTCAGGGCCTTTGCACCTGCGGTTCCCTCTGCCTGACATCATTGTGCCCCAGACACCCACATGGCTAATCCCCTTGATCCAGTTTGACTCAAAAGTCACCAGTTCACTGAGAATCCATCCTGGCCACCCTCTTCCAATCCCCTTCATGCCACTCTACTTATTCTTTTTTCCCATATCACTTTTTTTTTTTTTTTTTTTTTTTTTTTTTTTTTTTTT